TTTGAGTCCTCGCCGCAAAAGTGAAAACAAAATACACGTATATTTTGTTATTGGCGTGCCGATACCACCTTATTGAATACTCCTTGGAATTAACAAAAACTATACCGCAACGTTAGATAGAAACTTTATTTTTGATGCAATTAAATTTTTTACTCAGAATAAGTCCATCAAGCATATGGACACTTAAAGAAGTCATTTTCTGTTCTTGTTAGTGGTGGTCTGGTAATACTAAAGCGAATTAACAAAAACTACCGCAACGTTAGAAACTTTATTTTTGATGCAAATAAAATTTTTTTCAGAATAAATCCATCAAGCATGTGGACACTTAAAGAAGTCATTTTCTGTTCTTGTTAGTGGTGGAGGGATGCGATAGATGCGAATTCGGGGCGCGTTGAACAGGTTTTACACCATTAGGTTGGGCATTCTTATACCTTGGTCGAATTTGGCTTCTAAGGTTTTGATTTTGTGCTCCAGAACCTATACGCCCTTTATTGATTTCCATGCGATTTCGCGCTTTAATATGTGCATCATCCTTTACCATGTCAATAACTTCATCGGGAATTCGTAAATATTTGATCGTACTTCCTCGCACATAGCATTCAGGCATACGCCAAAACCTGTCTCCATCCTTTGATGTACACATAACATCGCGAAGATTTATGTTCATCCATGAATCACAGCTCACCAAGTGTCCATTATAGGTTTCTCCATTTTTCAATTCAACCAGCATTGGATGGCTCTGAGCGGTCTTAAGTAAAGTTTTTTTTTTTTGATTGTAGAAACGATGAGTTATGGCCGGTCTAGGACCCAAAAAGCCAGGGTTGTCAATTTTCAGTGGAATGTATGCAAGTTGTAATTAAATCCAGTTAGTTAGGATGACATGTTTCCTTGTTCCAAATTCAATTGTTTTATTTAATGGTGTTCCAGTAAAACGAAGTCTGGATGCTTGATTTAAACCCAGTTGATTTGATTTGTTGGAATGTGTGATTGAATGATTAATACGAGACAAGCAGGAAACAAAAAATAAGAAGGCTGAAATCAGCCCACTTCAATGTGTGCAATGAGCATTTGGAAATAACAAAAACAACAAAAACAAAAAACAAAACGAAAATCTGCAGATTACGAGGTTGGCTCCCCCTGTTGTGTGACTAGACCTACATATATAAAAATGTAGACACGTAAATTTGTATGAAGGTTGTGTAAAACAGTCTTTGAGTTCGCTTTAAGCGTTACTTTGTACTTTCTTTGATTAATATTTAAAATAGATTTTCTTAACTACTATTAATCCATAACTCAGTGTTACATCGTTTAATGTATATTATATAAATATATTTATATCCCTCTATGTAACTATTATATATATGTATATATACATATATGTCCAAAATTTATTAAATCTCTATTTGGGTTTCATTTATGAAACTGCAAAGCTCTTTAAGAGCCCCACCATCATTTTTATCAAACAATTCTTTAAAATTAGTATATTTCTTAACTGCATCGTACTTATCCCGTATGCTATTGTGCCTGCTACAAGCGAATATCGCATGGTTATATGTATCTACTGTATGACAGAAGTCACAAACATTCGAGTTAACTACTTTAATTTTGTGAAGATACTCTCTATCATAAGTGTGGCCCGTAATGAGTCTGTTAATCAATTTTACCTCTTTAGCATTTAATGAAGAGTTGTGATACCATGGCTTTTGGGGTATATCAGGGAAGAACGCCGCAAAGGTTCTCCCTTTGTCTTGCGAAAGTGACCTGTATCTAATGTTCCACTCCTCTCTTAGTAAAGGTCAATTTGTCGAATTGCTTCTTCAGGTGTCAGGGGGGGATTTATTGGGGCACCCACATTAGTTGCCCATTTTGCTAGGCAATCTGCTCTCTCGTTCATTTGGATGCCCACATGACCAGGGGTCCAGATTATAACACACCTTATATTATGTATATTTAAATTTGAGTGGATTCTAGCAATAATGTAATTATGTGAACTATGTTTCTCAAGTAGGTGACATGCTGTTAGACTGTCTGTGAATATTGCAATATCTTTTAAGTTGTCCTCTACCGCAATGTCAACGGCTTTCGCTATAGCCCACAGTTCACTGAAGGCAGATGACGTTAAAAAGTTAATGCTAAAAAGGAACTCCTGTTTTTGTGTGACATTAGGTTTGTTCGTCGAAAATCCAGCAAGAATTATCCAACACTCAAAATATCAGAGAGTAAGAAAAAATTCTCTCAAATTCTCTCTCATATTGAGAAACTTGCAAATTTCTGCACGAACGCAAATTTGCAGGAATTTGCAAGTTTCGCTGCCAGCTGGCGTCCACGGTTGCATTTCAAACATAAAAAATTTTTATAGAATTTTTAAAATTCTTTCGGATGGCCAAAAACAGGATATACATGTATATTTCTTGTTGTTCTGACTTTCTTTAACATACATTTCAATATCTTCATCGTACTAGCTGTCGGGTTTCTTAAATCGACTCTGGTTGCAATTGCATTCCGATTGCGAATACCATTTTTTCAGCCGAATTAAGTTCAAATCATTGGAATTAACTAAATTAATTATATCAACAATTATTTACTTCCTTTTTTCATAAAAAAATCGCTCGTGTTTATAAATTTTTAAATTTAACGAACTAATTTATTCAAATTATTGTAGACAAAAATGCAACCATGCGCCACCACCACATGTTTTTCGTGTTTGCAAATTCTTGCTGGCAAAATTTTTTCCAGCAAGAATTTGCAACTTCTCCCCAAGAGAACTGTCACTTTGCTCTCACAATTTTTGAGTGTTGGATAATTTTTTGGTCTGCACGAACGCGATTTGGGCAAAAATCGTGATAATTCGTACAAATTCGTACAAATTTTTTGCTCGACGAACAAACCTATTGAAAACACCACACCCCATAGAACTCATCCCTCCCGACGCATCAGTAGCAAAAATTGTAAATTTCCTTTCTCTATATTCATTTGCTAGCCGTCTGTATTCCGAAATAATTAGTTCATTTGCAGTATTTGCCTTAGTACTTACCAAGACCTTTTTGACAATTTTTAACTGTTCATTTTTTTTGTAATTAGATTCCGTGCAAACTTTTTCCAAGATATTTTTAAATTGGTAGAATATAGAGGAATAGCTGGAGTTCAGTCGTTTGCTCGACTTAATATTGTTATATACCGTTTTATTCAAAAATTTCAACTTGATTAGTTCCCGAGCTATGAGCAATTTTCCTCTTTCCTTAGGCTCCATTTCATTCGCCAAGACATATATGTTGTGGGTTGGGGTAGAGGGAGTTAGACCCAAACATCTACTCAACGTGTTATTTTGAACTACCTTGATTTTTTGCTCCAGGGTTTTAGGCAGATCATGGGTAGTAGACCTTGCAACTTCTAATTTCGACCTTACAAAACTTTTATATAAGTTAACAGCAATTTTCGGTGTTACACCAGCTTTGACCGTCGTGATGGATTTGATTAGTTTTACATTATTAGCCGCTTTTGCAATAAGATCTTTGTGATGCGCAGTCACTGCCATGGACGATGTTAATATTCTACCAATGAATTTTACCTGATTAACCTGTTTAATGACATGATTATCAACATTTATTATTAACTGCTTTTTGCTATTTTTGGCGAAGTGAATTATTTTGGTTTTCTGAACATTAATTGCAAATTTAAGACTATTGCCTCTTTTCACAAATTCTCTGAGTTTAAGTTCTAGCTTAAGTATAATCCTTTTAAAATCCCTGTCTCTAATCAAAATTAAAAAGTCGTCCGCAAACTGAAATAATTCAGTAGAATCATCCGCAATTTCATGTAGTGATTTAGTATACAAATTAAAAAGGAGCGGTGACAGACAGCTCCCTTGAGGTAGGCCATTGTTTACAATCACTGATTCCCTACCAAGTTGAAGAGTTCTTTCTTTTAAAAAGCTATTTATCCAGTTAATATAAATACTATCTACTCTACTTTCTTCCAATACTTTCACAAGGGCTGAAGTGGGAACACAATTGTAAGCATTACTGATGTCTATCACAGCCGCCACAACCTTTTGACCTTTGTCTTTGTATGAATATATGTTATGCAAAATTTCATTAACACACATGGAGGCCGACCTCCCTCTGCGGTAAGCAAAGCACCTGTTCGGAAGGATATTGTCAATCACGGGGTTGATTCTGGCTTTAATCATAAGATTAACCGTTTTAAGCAGGACAGGTATTAAAGATATTGGTCTGTAATTTGTATACTCACTAGGATCTTTGCCACACTTAGGGATGGGGATCACCTTGATAAGGCGCCACTGTCGCTCGATATTGCCTCTTAGAAAGGAGTCATTTAGTGCTGCCAAAAGTGAACTTTTGGATTCCTCTGACAGAGCACGTATCATTTCATACGTAATCAGGTCATGACCACCTGCAGACCTCTTGTTTTTATTTTTGAGGACATCATTTAGTTCCTCGAGCTCAAATCTGGAAAAGGAAGTGCTATCTAATGTGCTTTTACAGTTAATAGATCCATCCTGTATGTTAATGATCTGGTTTTTCATATGTTGAAGAAATGGGCCATTCCACTCTTCAGACCACACACTGTTTTTAGCTTTTTTCGGATTGCCTTTGAGGTTGTTGATAAACCTCCACGCCTCATTGGTATTCGGCTTGTTGTTAAGCATCTGAACGCTATCTAAAAAATTTTTGTTCTTGGCCTTCTTTACTTCATTTTTCCAGATTTCCTTTAGACTCAACGCCTTATCAAAGTTTTCAGGGGTAGGGAATTTGTTACACTTCTTAGTTGCAGCGAGATACAATCTGTAGTGCTTATTTAAGCCTTCATGCCACCAAGATTTTGGTGACCTATTGTTGAGAGTCATAGTAGCGTTATTTATTTCTTTAGAGAACACTTTTGTTATATCTGTCATTGTACTTCCAAGCTCTACCCCACTTAAAGATGCCATTAACTTTTTTTTAGATAAAAATTTCGAGCTTTTTGCTTCCGTCCAGTCAACTTTGACCGAGATCGGGTAGTGATGGCTACCCCCCAGATGACAAGGTAAAACGTCCCAGTCAATTTGCTCTGTCATATTAGTGAAGGTTAGGTCAAGGACCGAACCTCTGTTTAAGTCTCTGACATTCTGTCTGAAGGTTGCTGCCCCATTGTTGAGGCAAATGAAATTGGATGTTTCCGTTAGGCATTTAAGCCATTTACCTTTTGGGGAGTCAAAATTGTCACCCCACTCCCTCGAGCGAGCATTGAAATCGCCCATAATTAGAACATTCCTAAATCTGTCTAAAAAGTTAAAAAGGTGGGTAATGATGTCTTTGAAGGTGCTGAGTTCCATGGATGGTTCACAATATATGGAACAAATAGTGAGATTATTAAGCAAATTTTTGGTCTGCACTATGCAGATATCATGGTCTGTAACGTATTTAATTGTATTGAACTTTATCGATTTACGGAGCGCAATCGCCACTCCTCCATAGCCATCCGCTCTCTTTTTTTCTACTAAATTGAAATTTAAAAGGTTTTTAGTCTTATTATCATCTCCGTGAGAGAAAACCTCACTGAGACATACAACTTGATATTCCCTGCTGTTAACAAAAAAGTCTATATTATTAGAATTTTTCCTTAACGACTGACAATTATATTGTAATATCTTCATCTATTTCCTCGTCTATTTGTTCCCTCACATGAGGGGCTACTTTGCTTTCCAAGGTTGAAAAGTGTTGTTTTAGCCTATCATTGAAGTGTACAAATGCATTGACACCTGCCGGGAAGTTAATCTTTCTAAAAGCATCCCTTGCGAACTTAGTCATCTCCATTGTGATTTTTTCAATTTCCGATACTACATGTAGGTTTTGTTGAGAAAAAGCAATGCCATTTGAATTTGGCCTGTTTTGAACTCTCTTTTGTGGTACTGACAACGTGCGGGAGCTTTTCCTATTAGCACTTGGACTATATTGTTTGACCCTTTTAGCATAGGTGATTGGAGTTAAGAATCTGTTTAGTTCCTTTTGGTTATCTAAAAATGGATTTTCCTGTACACTCAACTCGGGAAAATGTTCGTCACTAAGTAATTCAAACCTATTAGATGAAGCCGAACTAATTTCTTTCAGGACTTCCTTTCTCGATTGTTTTTTTAAAGTCATAATCTTGTTTAATCTGTCTTCTTTTTCCCAAATTGGACACCGACCCCTGTCAA